AATTCTGAAATGTTTGTGATAAAAACATTTTTACAATTTCAATTACAAATATTGCAGAACACTGTGCAAAAAAAAAAAAAAAAAAAAAAAAAAAAAAAACAAAAAAATCAATAAAGTCAACAAGTTTTAATGTAAAGTTTTGTTTTTAAAGAAGGCCTTTTTTGTGAAAAAGCAAAACAAAAACAAAACACCCTTTGGCATGAAAAATTTCATAGTTTTCTTCTACCTTACCTCTGTTAAAAGCCCATAGGAAAAGGAGATCTCGTCCTTAGTTATCATCTGCACTGGCATGGAAAAGAAGAATCCCAAAGTGGCTCCAGATTTATTTTTTTGTACTACATCCCAGGGCAATGACTTGAGACACACTGAATTCCTGTAATACAAGCAGATTTCATCTCATCAATATTTTAGATAATTATTTATTTTCATAGAGAGAATGAATACCAAAAAAAACTTATTTCACTTCCACCTTAATTTGCATTGGTTTATCCTCTAAAATTGTTGGGTTTTTAATATTTGTATCTGCATTGGCTTCTCAAGACAATCTGCTACCCTAGGCAAAACTTTAGAGTGCCCATCCCCCCCACACTTAAGAACAGAGATGCTCAACCAGAGGACGCCTCCCGCCATCAGACTTTCAGAGGGGTCCTGGTGAGCCTTCTGATCGTTTGGTGCCTATGATAGAAGTGGGGGTTTCAGCACGAGGTTTCAGTGCCATTTACTTAGGTTTTGCCTAGTTGTCCCTCCACTGTGACGGGGAAGCGAAAATTTGACAGGCAAAATTTGAGTGAGTGCTGCTGCAACATGGCCCATGAGATCGAAGCACTGCTCAGGTTTGGCCCGGTCGCCCCAGGCAGAATCTGCAACTCTAGGCCGCTGCCTAATCTGACTATAGCTAAAGTGATTGCTGTATATAGGCTACAGTTCAGTGTCCCCTGAAAGTGGTGCTGTTTTTTTGATTAATAGACTATAGTATGACACTGAAAAGGAACTCATCCTAAAAAAAGGTGTGTGTGTGTGTGTGTGTGTGTGTGTGTGTGTGTGTGTGTGTGTGTGTGTGTGTGTGTGT